AGGACACCAGGAAAAGTATTGTAGACCTGCACCAGACTGGGAAGAGTGAATCTACAATAGGCAAGCAGCTTGGTGTGAAAAAAATCAACTGTGGGAGCAATCATCAGAAAATGGAAGACATACAAGACCACTGATAATCTCCCTCGATCTGTGATGGTCTGTTGCCAGCCATTACATCACCTAATGCCAAAGCCAAAAGAAATAGATAAATATTCTAACACTAGATGTTGTTATATTATCAAAAATGTGTGATTTAGGAAGTTGAAAGAGCATAATTGAGGAGCTTCATTCCCCCAAACATTTTTGTTTCTGGTGTTAGCTTGATCTGGGTTCATTCTCCAAAGTGCAATTAAAATCATGGTTATGGATAATCATGGCACAAAAAAGACACACACATCAGCGCTGTAACTTATCACCTAAACGTCTGAATTCCAAGTTATATTTGAAGTATTATAGCATGCCTGTGCGGACTAGGTCAGTTCAGTTTTGGCTGAGTAGTTGCAAGGCTAAAATACTGAAAGACAAATGTAATACACATTTCATAACATAATATAATGGGGAAGGATCATAAGGCACATGGGATGAGAGACTATGTAAATAAAAAAGGAAGTAACTAACATTGAGGCCAGGACTAAGACATACAAACCTGACACAACTAAACAGGGAAACTGGACAGACATGGAGATATGACTATAAGACAGAAAAAACAAATATTGCATAACCAAAGCACATAGACTCTGTCACGGCTCGGGCAGCGGCCGTGTGAAGAGTGGAAGGAGGACTCAAATGCAGTACTTACTCAGACGTGAGGGCGATTTATTAACAATACCAAACATAAAGTGGAGATGGCAAAACAGAACTAAGGATAAACTAAACTGGGAGAAACTACACCAAGGAGTAGCAAACCTGACATGAAGGGAGAGCACGCAGGGGATTTCACAGAGTATGAACACAGACGACGTGACGAGGAACAGAGGCAAACACACACTATAAGTACACAGAGAGACACTGGGAAACCACACACAGGTGGGAGACACAGCTGGACCTGATTAACCTGACGAGACAGGGGAACACTAACACCAGGGACCAATAGAGGGAGCACAACCCCAGAACCCAGTATCTAAAATCCCAAAACACAAACCATCCCAAAACAGCCCACGAATAATAATGAAAATAATAACAGTAAAAAACACAAACACAAAATCACTGAGTCATGGACGCAGGACCATGACAGACTCAGCTAGAATACCACCTATGAATATGAACTAGAATATAAAAGAAACTGCGAACAGAGAAAACAATACATAACCAGTGAAAATACTAACCGCTAATATGAAAACAAGAGCCCAGCTTAAACACAAGTGATTCTCAAAACCGAAAAGAAATGTATTCCAGGAAGGAATGTGTTTTTGTACCAGTCATATTTGTCTTGTAAATGTGAATTTACAAGAAACAGGAACGCTCAGTAAACCCTTTTACAAAGACACACAACAGCTCAGACAAGGACTCACTCTGGTTGAACAAACTCTGCAGCCTCTCCAACTCTTTGGTCATTTCAGTGAGGTCAGCTTGCAGCAGGTCTCTCTCCTCAGTTATGGAAGAAATTTGGTCACTCATGGCAGAGACATTTGCATTTTGAAGGTCTCTCTCCTCACTCATTGAGGAAAATTGGTTATTCATAGCAGACAGAAGTTTGCTTGAATCATGATCTAAAACAGACATGTTTTTGAGACTCAGACAACACCAGGCATTTGTTCTTTGACTGCTTCCGACTTCTTCTGATTAATTTTATCCTATAAAACATTTTATCCTAAACTGTTTTACTTGTCTTACTTTGTGTAAACATTACCAAGTTTACCATATTTCATTAGAAAATGGTAAACTATGGGCTATTCAAAAAAGAAAAAGAAAAGCTTGTGATCATTAGAACAGATATCAATAACCAACACAACTTACAGAGGAAACCAAGAGTGACAAGTCCAGCCAACAGGAAGACACTCAGCAGGCTCAGACACAAAATAATAACCAAATACAAACTCCTCTTAGAGCTCCTTCGACCTGAAAAGACAGGAAAAATAAATAAATATATAAAATAAAACAAGGACCCCAACAAAGTGTAAAACAGTAGAGATGTTAAAACACCCATTATCTTTTTTTTTTTTGATCGCGCTTCTTTCTTACCTGTGTGATTTGTTGAATATGTTGGGTAGACACATTTGAGATGTTCAGTATTGACATAAATTTCTTCCATTGCATGAAAGGATGTTGATGTGGTTATGAGAGCTCAGCTCTGCAGCACAGGACATATTAAGTTTGAACGTCTCACTGTGTTTTTTTATGCTCAGAGAAAATCACCTACTTAATATGTGGTTTGTGCAGCTGCTACCACTGAAACTGGATCTGTTCTTGGCCTGTGTATTTATATAGCCATGTGAAAGGATAGAGAAAGCAATCTGCAAAAGAAAAAAAGAGGTTTGAGAGGAACACATATATATA